ATGTACAAGTATACATACAGGCTTATACCATCACTATTATTCCACTTTGCCCATTGATTTGTGACATGCTGTCGCTTTTCTTATCCCTTCTCAGCTGGGTATTACCCCAGACTGTTCAGTATGACTCTTTTGTTCCAGATACGGTTGGGTTGAACCTGTCAAAGGCTTGGGGTTTAAACCCTCAGTGGAAAAGTTTGGCCCCGGCAGTGGGTGCTGAGCATGGCTGTTTCGACGGTTTTGTCTGCATGCGTCCGCATCTCGGCAAAAACGTATGAACTCGCTGTACTCCCTCCTATTTATTCATATATTTGTGACTACATTATCCTCGTCTATTGTATGACATTTTGTTCTCTCCGTATCTTCTCCCATGAGAGCCGCACTCCGTTTCCCCACGATAACGGTGTAACAGTTACTTCAATTTGGATTGACATAATTATGCAGCACATTCTTCCATCCTCCACACTAACGTTTGTCACCTCGTCCGCATTGTGTTCCGCTTACATAGCGTTTTCGTTCTGCTCCCCTACCATCTCCAGTATGTACGTCTTCCAAGTATTTTATCTATCTACCTGTACTGACGTTGTACATATGATTATTTTGAACACATGATCATACCTTGTGCATGCCTCACGGGTTTCGTGAAATATACATTATTATTATTATTTTGCAGAAATATATATGACCGTTTTTGTGTCAAACAATTTACATATAAAACAACGATGCACACTAGTCGCATCAAACGCAACAAGAGGTTAACATAGATCTAAAAGCGTAGGAATGTTTTGTAACGTTTAGCGCGCGTTTGAACTTAACGTGGAAATCGGGCCTTATATTTTTTGTTATTTATATTCTTCTTCTTCTTTTTATTATTATTTTTTATTTTTTATTATTATTTATTATTTGTTATAAGCTTCACGTTTATTGTACTGCTCTTGCGACCTAACTATAGACCTCTCTTGATATATATATACGTATAAAGGTGTTCATCGGTTTATATAGTCATATTGCAGGAGTATCATAGATACTCATACTAGACAGTACGATCAAGGTTGTTACTGTTACCTACACCTAACGGACTATTTTTGACACCCGGATTGCGTTACACCATAAACGCTATTTAACAAGTTATCGCTATAGCGACTAGCATACCTATTTTACTGAAAAATATTAGTAGCCACGTGAGATGAAACTGACCTCAATCGAACTGTACCCCGTGGAATCCCCTCTTCACCCACATCAACCTACCTTGCCCAGCCTCTTACAAAACCTGTGTACGGTGACCGCCCATGGACGGAACCTTTACCCTGGCCTACTCGCCTGAGCCAAAACAGAACAAACCCCCCACCTAAAACAAATCGACCATTTACCCCGACACCCCATTCCCCTCTGTTAGCTGCAAATGTATATGGCCTACCCTCCCATCTAAGCTTTGCACCAAACCCAACTCTTGTTACCTTCTTCTCACACATAGAACCCAGCATCACCCATAGTTCCTCCATGAGATATCCGAGCCAGAACCTTCTTCCTCCTTATCTCTTGAGCAGCCCACAAATTACATCACCAAATCTGGGGCATGCTTAACACCCACCAAACTTCCGACACTTTTCTGCACCCGTTGAGAAACATATTCCAGCATTCAACCTATTACTTCCTCCACCAATAGCCCACCAACCGTGCTTCACAGCTCCCTCCTCCCTTNTGCTCACAAACTATTATGACAAGTGCAGTGCCTCTACACACGCCATTTAGGCTGGCACGACCTCTTCTGCCACGGTTTCCTACTGACGTACAAAACCACTAAAGGTAAATTTACCTCAGAAACATCCCATTCCCAAGCGATCTTGTTTAATGTCCCTTCTCTTAATTAATTAATTAATTAACTCGCGTTCTATTAATAACAAATTTGCTTCCCTAAAAAGCTTACACAAATTGCTTTGATATCATCATGATAACCAAGACGTGGTTGCATGATGAGTCCCCCATAGACCTCATCGCCCTAATTGGTCATCAACTCTTTAGAAAACAACCCGGCATAATCGCCGAGGGGGAGGATGCCTTGTACATGTCAGAGACCCACTACAAGCAACAGCCCTAAACAACCCCATTCTTGATAAAGTACAGGAATCTTTGTGGTTAAAGATCACACATCATAATNTTGCTTCTTGGATGCATTTATCGTCCACCCTCTGCTTTTACCGACTTCTCATACATATCTGAAACGTTCACTTACCTATCGTATCTTGCACCTGGAACGAAACTCATAGCAGGAGATTTTAACGCTCCAAACATATGTTGGTCACCCTTGTCTGCTCCTGATAACCTCCTCCCCTTCATATCTTGCATTAACTCTGATGGTTGGACACAGCAAGTAAAATCCGCGACTTGGGGGTAGCCACGTCCTGGACCTAATCTTTACAAATCGTCTAACGGTGACAGAGACACAAGTACGTGAGCACTTTCCAGGCAGTGACCACAAAATGGTTCATTGCATGGTTAAATTAGAATTAGCACAGACACTTCCTCCGTCACCAGTTGTCCCACGCTACCAAATTAATTGGATGTACCTACCAAATCTGATTCGTTCTCTGGAGTGGTCTGATTTCTTTCTTTCTTCTGACCCCCAACTAGCGGCGGATATCTATTATCAAAAGATTACCAGCTGCATCTGCTCGCTAACTTCCGTTGTATCTACCCGCCGCCCAACTCAATTAGAGAATTTAAAAACTAAATTCAATAAACCTTCTAAACGGTATCAAGCCACGCACGATTTCTTTCTGTTGATGCAGTTGCATGACCTCTCAAGAAAAATCCAGCTAAAAACGGCCAATCAACACAGAAACTAGAAACTTAGGGCTCTATCCCATTCAAATTCAATATGGAAAATGTCTCAATTACATAAGGCTAGGAATAAAGTCACAAATCCCAGCAGCTTACACTTAATTCTGCCTGGAAATATCTCTCTCAACGCCCCCCAGACAATCGCTGAAGCCTTAAACTCTACATTTACCTCCTCGTACATAAATGACCCATCCACCAGCCTCCCTAGTCTTCCACTATCCACGACTGAATATTTGACTACCATCAGTTTTACGGTAAATGACATTATTATGCTTCTCCGAGTTACCAAACCTTCCTCACACCCTGGGCCCGACGGACTACCGTCGGAAGCTCTGCGCTTCAAAGGGCCAGATATGCCGCTCCTTTTGTTAAAATTATTCAACCTCGCACTGACTAATGGTGTTGTCCCATCCCAGTGGAAACGGTCCACTATTATACCTCATCACAAAACTGGACCCACCCAAGACCCATCCAATTATCGCCCTGTAAACCACACTCCCATGATCTCCAGAATAATGGAGAAAATCATTAAACAACAATTGATGAATCATCTTTTTTCCGGAAACCATCTCAGTCAGCGACAGCATGGTTTTCTCAAATATCGTTCCTGTCAAACTTGCCAGTTTGACTTCCTAAACATGATTACAAACGTGGTAAACGACAAAAACGCCTATATAATGGTCTACCTGGACATGACGAAGGCCTCTGACAGAGTATCACACTCAAGACTAATGGTTAGGGCTAGATTTTATGGACTAGGTGATCCAATAGTTTCAAGGCTGACATCATATCTCTCGAACCGAACACAGGCACTTTCAATAGATGGCTTCTCCTCTTTACTTCCGCAATTGACAAGTGGAGTTATACAAGGCAGCGTCCTTGGCCCCCTACTATTTCTTATGTATATTATTGATATATGCAAATCCATCAAAAATGGGACTCAATTCTTATTTGCTGATGACATCGAAATTGCATACTCCTTCCCCACAAACAATCCAATACATGTCCTTGATAAAAATCAGATTGATCTTTTAGCCCTAGATCACTGGTGCTCCGAATGGTCGACGAGCTTCTCGGCCAAAAAGAGCAAAATCCTGTCCTATAGATGCCAAGTCCCTCCTGGTATTCTGACTATGAATAACGCCATCATTGCCCAAACCTCTTCTATTCAAGATTTGGGTTTAAACTATTCCCGTACCCTAAACTTTTCGGAGCATTGCGCCCTCCAGATAGCAAAGGCAAAGCGCACTATTAACCTCTTATTCAGTAACTTTAGCCTTCGAGAGAGTATTATTACCCTATATAAATCGCATGTAAGACTTTTATTAGAATAATCCTTAATTGTATATTCCAGCATGAGGAAACATGACCGGAAAGCCACTAAAAAAGTCCAGCGTAAATTTACTAAACAAATTTTTGGTTGGTGAACAAACCTGGGCTATATGGAAAGATGTACTCTCCTCAGGCTGAATCCCCTCTGACTGCGCCGGATCAGACTAAATCTCACTATTTTACATCGTTTCATATACAAAAAGACCCATTCCACGATTAAAATGGATTTTCTGGAAAACTCAATACCCATTGACGTAACCATGCAAACATACGCCCCACAACCCTCGACAGAACTGCAACATGAAACAGATTTTTCTTTAGTACCTACTCCAGATTATGGAATAAGCTGACAATGGAAGTGCGTACAACTGTGAAACATGAAATGTTCAAAAAACAACTTGCTATACACTTAGCGATCAACACAATTGCCACAATGCACGGAAACATAAGAATTGATGCTGCATTCGAAATGGGTTTTGACTATTGACTACCCAAACTCTGATTTAGCTTTAGAGCGGGGTCTGTGTAAATTGATCCATCGAGGTACACATACCTAAGTAATATAACACATCCTTCTCTAGATGTTATGCATCCGCTCACATTCCCACCAGACTAATTTTGAACAAACTTGTGGCACATCATAACTAGGTCCAAGTGTTCACATCGTTAAACAACGTCATACCAGTCCACGCATCTATCCCCAAAGCTAGATCTGTAGAATAAAATCTCTGCAGATACAGACTTGTAAAAGCACTGTGATCCATTTTCGCTTGATTTATCCCCCACTGATCTTTAATCGGTTTAACACAATTCGTTAAATCCTGTGGCACATGCTCACCAGGTGCCGGTACCCACGTATTCAAAAATTTTCATATCGGTACCTGCATTTGGCCTCAAAACTTGAAATGCCTTCACCCAATCCTATCCGTTCTCCTCCGTGGCACACGCTAACTAGGTAGCTGTGTACACTTTCTCAACCCAATATTACCAGCACACGGAACCAGCCTCAAATAAGGATCCGCAGAACACAATCCTGTGTGGTAGATACTTTCACATGTTTTGTGATTTGATATCCTGTAGTCGACTCCGGTATCCTATCATTTTAGTACAACTTCCTTGGTGTCCACTCATTTTCTGTTTTTTCCGCTGCATGATACGTTTCCCGCTATCTTTCCCCTTTTTCACCTGGGTACCATCCCAAACTGTTTCATATCGCCTCTTTGTTCCAGATTCGGTTCTCTTGGGCCCGCTGGATGCTTGGGTTCCTCACCAGCAATGGACAATTTAGCTCCGGCAATGGTTGTTGGGCACGGTTGTTTCGACCGTTTTGACTACACGCGTCCGCGTTCCGGACCAGGTTGAGGAGTACACCCCCTGCCTCACCTACAGGGTGTTTTAAAGTTAGGTGTCTAGCATGTAGTCAGTCCCACATCAAANCCAACGCCTAATTAATCTAAATAAACCAAACCACTCGTGATTGATTGAAGACCCGAACCCACTGAACTTGTCTCCAAAAGCGAGTTGTATTGCAGCATAGAATGAAACATGTTCCTTTACCGACGTATTATTCTACTGTGTCCTTTACTTTCTATTCCTGTCTTCATACCTCTACCATCAGGCAGCATTTGTATTACAGACCTCCTCTTCGGTTTCCCCACACTTTTGCCGTATGACCAATCCTTTCGAGATCAGCTTTACTATTACTTGCAGTTCTAGTAACATGCATTTTTTGCTGCATCCTCCATCTTCCATAAATTCGTCTACGACCTTGTCCGGTTTGTGTTCCTTTCACTCTGTGTTTTCATTCTGATCCCCACCATTTTTTTAAGTTTTATTATTGTCTACCTATGTACTTACGCTGTTATTGTACGTTTACTCGCTCTGAACATTTGATCATGCATTGGGCATGTCTCACGGGCTTCGTGAAATATACACCTATTATTATTATTATTATTATTATTATTAATCTCAGTTCGGAGGAGGTATCAGTGTTTTGAGCACAAACTGTGAGTTACGGAGCCTAGCGCCGCTTCAACAATATTACAGAACTCAAGCCGCGAATGAACAAATAGGAAGGCAACCTCCCAGCAACACAGACGCCAGGAGGCAGCTGTTTATCAATTCATGTTTTTTGTGCAACTTCCACTGACATGCCTTTTTAGAGCATTCCGCGATTCTCAACATCTATCTCCGTGACCTTTTCCACTTTATGTTCCATTTGCATTTCTGTTCATTGCGATCTTCAACTTTTGTGCTTCTCCTGCACTTATGATTTAGTTGTACGTTTGATCATGCCCATCGTTCACGAAGCTTCGTGAAATACACCTTTATTATTATTAGTGAGGGAAGGTAGCCCGTTCTATATCTCGTGTTTTCTCTTATGTTTTGCCTCATTGCGTTTTCATGAAGCCAGATTAGGAGTGCTTCATCCTTTGCTCCTGCTGTGCCCGTTTAAAGCACCCAACCGATAAGAAGTGAATAGAATGTGGTACGAGAGTAGGAGGTCAGTCCTGACCTTTTCTGACCTGGCCGCTGTAGTCATGATCTGCGCGCGCGGTATCAATTTTTGAAGCATGTGGCGTAACTCAACGAAACCTCAAAGGCCAAAAAATCATCCAATGGTGAATCCAGGTCTAGCTCAAATCAACTCGCACTCGCCTAGGAGTCAGTTCAGAGTGCTACGAACGTAAGCTTAGGCGTTAGTGATTGCCTTCTGTGAGGAAACTCGAGTCCGGCGTCTATGTCACCTTGTGGATTGTGGTTGGTGTTCCTAGCAATTGCAGGATCTTGTCTCTCTTTAACACTGAATATCTCTCATTTGCTATCTCATATTAACCTCAAGCTATAATTCGTTACCTTAGGGCTCGTAAATCTAGTGTAATCCACATAACCTACCACTCGGAATTCGCAAGTTATTTACTGGTGACCATGAGAGCTGGGAGCGAAAAATGCTCTCCAGCAGTAATGGCTAGCCCTGAACTTGTGGCCATGGAATTTACCTGTGGGAAAACAGAAAGCCTAGCTAGCGTAAGTGAGGGCATCTGCTGCGGCCTTCGTGCCTTCGGCCTGGTATAACCAAAAGTGCAGCAAACTGATTATCAAGGCCTACGAGCTTTGAGTTGAGCACAAATACCTAACATACGTTTGTTATGCGTGCTCAAACACCTTTACGCTGGCAGCCAGACAAAGGCTACCGGCCCGGTATCTCACTTAAATCGACACTTCAGGCACTGGCATCAATAAAGCCGAATGCCGGCAGCACACCCCAGAAAACGACCAGGCCAACCTCTGCCTCAGACGAAAAGCTCACAAAGACACACTGTAGCTCCTTTCTAGAGATCACAGTGATAGAAAGGAAGGACATTTGCCCCCATCCAATGACTACCGGGATATGAAAAATCTTAGGTATGACATGACACCTCAACTGGAGGCGATCATTGACTCCTTAACCAACCAAACCACTCAGCTTGCCAAAGCGGCCAAGTTTGCTTTATCGAATTCCAATAGCATGGAAACTCCAGAGGCAAACACTCACATCGCTTTCGGGAGGCATAAGAATGTATTAATTAAGGGCATTGCTGAGCCTTTCTGTCAAATCGGAAAGTGGAGGGAAGCGCAAATACGTCACCTTCCTCCTCAGAATTTCTCGCCTTCCTCCTCACGCAACCATCAAGAGGTTTCTACGCCTAAGGAAATGGTCTTCAATAGGGAACAAGGGCAGGCCTGTGCTTGTAGAGTTCATCAACTCTCGGCACAGAGACTCTTTTCTCGCAGCTACTGTCCAACTGAGGGCAGAGACCAAGGGTGCAATAACATCAGAACCGGACAATGCTACTAAAGGTCACAACGAAAAATCGTTTCCGAACGTAAGACCAATGACGTTACCCTCTGTGCGAATACCTAAGCTGGTAACCAAGGCAACATATTGTACCGCTGAACCACTCATAAGTCAACCAGGGTTACACACTCAAGCCAATCCACAGCCACTCAGCCTGAAACGCAAGCCCAGGCTAGAAACGCTTGGAACAATCCGTAAAACCTCCGGTGCAAAAAATGGGGGGCGACCTTGAGTCTAGAGCCCAACTGCTACCCCAAAGCTCCCACTGCTAGCCACAGATCAAACCTACGCGTGCTTAGCACAAACGCCTGCAGCCTGGGGAACAAATGAGTTAAATTAACCTCGGAGTGCATTCACTCCGACTGCATGGTAATAACTGAATCCTGGTTTCAACCAAATGAAAACGTCCAGTCGTTAAAACCAAAGGGCTTCAATATCTTCAGAACCGATAGGAAAGACCATCGCATAGGGGGAGAGACACTGCTTATGACCAGCGAGGAGCTCTAAACTTAAGCTTTCGCTTCCTTTAACACGCTTGACATCCAGGTAGCGGTCTGTGCAACACATCTCACCACAAAGAAGCTGGCGGTAGGTTGTGTTTTTGGCAGTCGCTCAGCATCCCAGGTAAAGGATGAGCAACTGGTCTCCTACCTTAGACAGTTTGTCCACGGGACAAGAGCGTGCTAAGTTTGGGAGACTTTAATACCCTGAAAGTTGACTCGAATACCGTGTGGGCACCATCAGGCAGCGCTGGTCACACCCTAGTCACTTCTATCCTTGGCTGCGCCCTAGGCCAGCACGTCCATCAACCCACGCGTCATCGCAGCGGGCAAAATCCTGGGATGTTTGACCTGGTCCTGGGTAAATATACAAAGGACGTGGCCGACTTGCAGATCTCCCTACCCCTAGTTTAAGGGATAGGGAGGGTAGGTGTGACCATTTGGTCTTACGTTTCTGTTTACAGGAAGATGACCTCAATCCTTACATGCAGGAGAGCTTTTCACAGGATAGACAGTAACTCCCTTGCTCAAGGAGCCACTGAGCTACACTATGGTGTGCAGCTTGACACCATAGAGTCGCTGTGGACCACCATAAAGTCCAACCTCTTAATGCTCACTTCTGAGTTTGCTCCACTAAGGATATATATATTTAACACGTCAATTTCATAGAATTGGCAGATGTGCCACAACATATGAAGAAAGAGATGTGAAAACGATTTAAATGTAAATCAACGAACAGGAGTCTCGCAACAGTTGCGCCATTGACGCCAGTTACCAGCCATGTCCGAAAACATATGAAGCCATAGATGTTCTCTGTCCTTGGGCCGCCAACCCAACCTGGGAGTCGAGAGAGTCCTACTGCTGCCAGTTTTCAGGCTGGGGCAACCTTTTAGTCGGCATCCGCAACACGTCCCAACCATCGAAGTCTCTGCAATGATAGCATTCTGAGGACGACTGAGATTGTCTCCACTGAAGATTCTTCCGCGAAACTCGTCGTTGGTGATTCTCTGTTGCCGACGTATTATGGGGATGCAACCAGAGCAACGGTGGTCAAAGACGCTCAATCTGCGTAAGTCTCCTGCGCTGAGGGGCTCCCACAGCTGTATAGTAGGACAAACCGTCCTGTTGCATTGTAAATGCGGCCTTTCAAGGAGAGACTAAGATCGCGTCGGCACCACAAGTGACGTAGGTTAGCGAAAGTCACTCGAACCTTGGGGATACGCGCTGATATTT